TCATGGCGGATTTAGTCAGTTGTGTCAGGAACTGGTGGTTTGAAATCCAGACTAATCCACGCCTGATTCATTTCACAAACGTGAGTCTCTCCACACTTTGGGTGGGACAGTCGTGTCCTCCGCGGAGTTACAATACCTCCTGCCGCACTAAACACACGTGCTCCGATGCTCACGCTAACTGGAGCCGGGCATGACAGCCTTTCAAGGGCAAATTCAGCTAGTTGGGGCCAAAGGTCAAGTTTCGTTGCCCAGTAGTCAAGGGGATTGTCTACCTCGGTTGGCAGGGTGCTGTCCAAGTAGGCCCAAGCCTGTTGTTTGATGGGATCCTGCTCCAGGTCCACCTGATGCTGCTGCTGCTGCGGCTGGTTAGTAGTGTTCCTCACTGCGCTGGTGAAGAAAGCTACTCATCCTATCGACTGCAGACTGAGGCAGAAGCCGCTGCTGGTGGAGCTGCCACTGCTCCTACCACCCCCACCCCTCCCCTGCTGCCATGGCAGCGGAACGCGAGCGCACAGGGCCACAGTGTCTGAGGATGGGACGGTTGGCGCAGAAAGGGGGGCAGAGACCAACTGACTACATAGGTGGTTTTTATAGTACGTTATTTTTGGCCTCTCCCTCTCAGCAGGTGTGAAAAAGGCCACCATTTTTGAACGGTAGCGAGGGTCTCCAACAAGGTGGACAGCAGCCAAAAGTCATCCCTCTGTCTGATGGTTATTATTCGGCTGTCGCTACGCAAGCAACCCGAGATGCTATGGGCCATTTGTGCCAAGGAATGCGAGGGACTCCCTGCCTCCATCTCCACAGCATACTGCCACGGTGGCGTCTGGGTCCTCTGTCTCCTCCTCCTCCTCTACCAGATGCTCCTGCTCCTCCACTCCTGTCCGCTAAGTGGAAAAAACCACCCATTTCACTCAATAATTCTGAGCACCAATGTCTCCTCTACCTCCTCCTCTTCTTCCTGTCCTGCCCCCACAGGGGGTCATTGTGGCGTTGAGATCTGTGCGCCACGTCTACCGCACCCTGACCAGCCATTGTTAACAGCATTTGTTCCAGGACGTTGCAACAGAGGAATGACGTCATTCATCCCATAGTCCTGCCGACTCACGATAGCGTGGCCTCCTCAAAGGGCTGGTGAGCAAGCGGCAGGTGTCACGCATGAGCTGCCAATGGCTGACATCTAAGTTTACACAGGGAGTACCTTTATCGCTTGTAACATCAGGAAATCGGTGATGGCCTTTCGCTGTTCGTAAAGGCGGTCTAACATATGTAGGGTTGAATTCCACCTTGTTGCAACGTCGCAGATCAGGCGATGCTGTGGAATTCGTTCTGCCGCTGCAGCTCAAGGAGGGTGTGCTTTTGCGCGGTGTAGGAATGGCTGAAATGCATGCAAAAGTTTTACGTGACATTTTAAGGATGTCTTGCAGTGGGATGGTGGATTTTAGGAACCGCTTGACAACCAGATTGAACATGTGAGCCCATGCATGGCGCATGGCACAACCTTCCTTGACGCAGAGCAGACAGACACCATGTTCTTTCCGTTGTCGGTCAACATGGTTCCGATTTTCAGTTTGCGCGGAGACAGCCATCTGTCGATTTCTCTGTTCATTACACTCAGAAGTTCCTCCCCTGTGTGAGACTACGTTTCGCCAAGGCATACCAGGTGCAGCACAGCGTGACACCCTGCGCCTGCACATGTGATTTGCCGGTCGGGTAATGGGACTTGGCACGGGTTTGGGTGGGCGGCTGAGGACACGGCGGAAGAAGAGGTGGTAGAGGCGGACATCTTTGCTGGACCAAGGACGTGCAAACGTGGAGGCAAAAGCGGCGTGACCTGTCCAAGTTGCTTGGTGCGGCTGTGCCGGCACCACGTTCACCCAGTGGGCCGTTAAATGACATGTACTGTCCCCTGACCGTAGTTTCAGCTCCACACGTCGGCGCTGCCGTGCACTTTGGCAGAGGACCGACATGCTCAAAAAGACTGGCCCACCCATCTCTTCTACATGTGAATGCAGGGCTGGCACTGCCTTTTTGGCGAAGAAATGCCGGCTTGGCACTCTCCCCACCGCGGACGCGGCACAAGCCATCATTTCTCAGAAAGGTGCTGAGTCCACCACTTGGAAAGGGGGGGGGAGGGACTGCAGCACCAGCAACTTGGACAGGAGGACGTTCAGCTTCTGCACCATCGGGGTGCGTGCTCGCAAACTGTTGTCTCTTGGAAACGGATTCATCAAGAAAGACTGCTGTACGGAATCGTGAAGAGGAGTAGCAGGAGAAGGAGCATCTGAACGAGAGGGGAAGATGCCAAACGAGCGACAACTCCCCTCAGCAGAGGTGTTGGAGCCCAATGACTGGCTGATAGAGGGCGATTGACGTTGGGGTGACGGAGCAAGTAACGGAGCGGGTGATGGAGCGGGGGCTGGGGCAGGCAGAAAACCGCCGTATCTTTATCACGGTTTTCCCAGGCCACCGAATGGCGACGCTGCATATGCTGACGCAACGCTGTTCAGTCCCAAACATGGGCCCCCTGGCCACGCTTTAGCGACTTTCTGGCCACTTTATAGTCGACATACGCTACGTTTACTTCCTCGGTTGGCTTGACGACGAAAAATTGCACACCGGCCGAGTAGGAAACTTTTGCCGCCGCTACTCCTCACTGGCTGACTGCTACTTCCTCCGTGCACACCGGCACCACTACTGGCCGTGGTGGTAGGCTGCAGTGGAGCTGGTGCTCTACTTCCGTGGCCGTTTGCCTCCACTGACACTGCTGCGACCCTGCTGCCTCCTGGGCAACCACCGACTGTTTTGCTCGCTGCAAGCTGGCACCCATCTTATCCTGATGATTGCGGAAAGCAATAGCCTGATGACGACGAGGCTGCCAAGTGCAATCCAGCCTCATCATCATCAATTAGGGTCTCCGCCTCACTACTAGCCCCCTCGGCTGCGTGTGGGTGAGTCAGGAGACAGACCTGTCTCTAGACCGGCTACCGAGCCACTCTCCTCGCCAGTACTTCTTCGCCTAGGCTGCTGAAGAGGCGGATGTCTCCCCCCGTTCCTGACCGCCCTCTGTTAGCTCTTCCTCACTGTACAGTGGGGCTGAGCCCACAGCATGCCAATACTTCACTTGGTGAGGGAACACCAAAGGACAGGGGCAGGTAGAGGACGTGTGATTTCAGTGGGCTTGCTCCGGGCCATGCCAACTAACGGTTGTGTCTGACGTACCCACCGACTGTTGGCTGTAGGTGTCAGAGGTGACCTGGGAGGAAGAGGAAGACGACCGAGCCAACCAATCGATGACGGCAGGGTTGTCGGTGGAGACACGACCCGCTGGATGACACCGGGAGCACTGGCCTCTGGCTGCGACTAGTGCTGCCTCGACCCCTTCTCCTCTGCTGCCACTGTCTGCTCGCTCCTGAAACATTGCCTCCTCTGCCACTCCTCTGCGTGTTGTCTGACATACTCTTTAATTCAACGATTCTGTCGTCCCTGAGTAACGATTCTGTGTCCCTGAGTAACAATTCTGTGTCCCTGAGTAACAATTCTGTGTCCTGAGTAACGATTTGTGTCCCTGAGTAACGATTCTGTGTCCCTCAGTAACGATTCTGTGTCCCTGAGTAACAATTCTGTGTCCCTGGAGTAACGATTCTGTGTCCTGAGTAACAATTCTGTGTCCCTGAGTAACGATTATGTGTCCCTCAGTAACGGGGTTTATTCTGTGTCCCTGAGTAACAATTCTGTGTCCCCCTGAGTAACAATTCTGTGTCCCTCAGTAACGATTCTGTGTCCCTGAGTAACGATTCTGTGTCCTGAGTAACAATTCTGTGTCCCTGAGTAACAATTCTGTGTCCCTGAGTAACAATTCTGTGTCCCTGAGTAACGATTCTGTGTCCCTGAGTAACGATTCTGTGTCCCCTCAGTATCAATTCTGTGTCCCTGAGTAACATAATTTCTGTGTCTGTCCCTGAGTAACAAAAAACTTTTGTGTCCCTGAGTAACAATTCTGTGTCCCCTGAGTAACGATTCTGTGTCCCTCAGTAACCAATTCTGTGTCCCTGAGTAACAATTCTGTGTCCCTGAAGTAACACAATTCTGTGTCTGTCCCTGAGTAACAATTCTGTGTCCCTGAGTAACAATTCTGTGTCCCTGAGTAACAATTCTGTGTCCCTGAGTATCGATTCTGTGTCCCTCAGTAACAATTCTGTGTCCCTGAGTAACAATTCTGTGTCCCTGAGTAACAATTCTGTGTCTGTCCCTGAGTAACAATTCTGTGTCCCTGTAACAATTCTGTGTCCCTGAGTAACGATTCTGTGTCCCTCAGTAACGTTCTGTGTCCCTCAGTAACGATTCTGTGTCCCTGAGTTAACATTCTGTGTCCTTGAGTAACAATTCTGTGTCTCTGAGTAACGATTCTGTGTCCCTGTGTAACAATTCTGAGTCCCTGAGTAACGATTTCTGTGTCCCCTGAGTAACGATTCTGTGTCCCTCAGTAACGATTCTGTGTCCCTGAGTAACGATTCTGTGTCCCTGAGTAACGATTCTGTGTCCTGGGAGTAACAATTCTGTGTCCCTCAGTAACGATTCTGTGTCCCTGAGTAACGATTCTGTGTTCCACTGAGTAACGATTCTGTGTCCCTCAGTACTCTGATTCTGTGTCCCTGAGTAACGATTCTGTGTCCCTGAGTAACGATTCTGTGTCCCCTGAGTAACAATTCTGTGTCCCTGAGTAACGATTCTGTGTCCCTGAGTAATGATTCTGTGTCCCTCAGTAACGATTCTGTGTCCCTGAGTAACAAATTCTGTGTCCCTGAGTAACAATTCTGTGTCCCTGAGTAACGATTCTGTGGTCCTCAGTAACAATTCTGTGTCCCTGAGTAACAATTCTGTGTCTGTCCCTGATTAACAATTCTGTGTCCCTGAGTAACAATTCTGTGTCCCTGAGTAACGATTCTGGTGTCCCTCAGTAACAATTCTGTGTCCCTGTAGTAACAATTCTGTGTCCCTGAGTAACAATTCTGTGTCTGTCCCTGAGTAACAATTCTGTGTCCCTGAGTAACAATTCTGTGTCCCTGAGTAACGATTCTGTGTCCCTCAGTAACGATTCTGTGTCCCTCAGGTAAACGATTCTGTACCTGAGGTGAGTAACAATTCTGTGTCCCTGAGTAAACAATTCTGTGTCTCTGAGTAACGATTCTGTGTCCCTCAGTAACGATTCTGTGTCCCTGAGTAACAATTCTGTGTCCCTGAGTAACAATTCTGATGTCCCTGAGTAACGATTCTGTGTCCCTGGAGTAACGATTCTGTGTCCCTCAGTAACGATTCTGTGTCCCTGACAGTAACAATTCTGTGTCCTGAGTAACGATTCTCTGTCCCTCAGTAACGATTCTGTGTCCCTGAGTAACGATTCTGTGTCCCTGGGAGTAACGATTCTGTGTCCCTGAGTAACGATTCTGTGTCCCTCAGTAACAATTCTGTGTCCTGAGTAACAATTCTGTGTCCTGAGTAACGATTCTGTGTCCCTCAGTAACAATTCTGTGTCCCTGAGTAACAATTTCTGTGTCCCTGAGTAACAATTCTGTGTCCCTGAGTAATGATTCTGTGTCCCTCAGTAACAATTCTGTGTCCCTGAGTAACAATTCTGTGTCCCTGAGTAACAATTCTGTGTCTGTCCCTGAGTAACAATTCTGTGTCCCTGAGTAACAATTCTGTGTCTCTGAGTAACAATTCTGTGTCACTGTCCATGAGTAACAATTCTGTGTCCCTGAGTAACAATTCTGTGTCCCTGAGTAACAATTCTGTGTCTGTCCCTGCAGTAACAATTCTGTGTCCCTGAGTAACAATTCTGTGTCCCTAGAGTAACGATTCTGTGTCCTTGAGTAACGATTCTGTGTCCCTCAGTAACGATTCTGTGTCCTTGAGTAACGAATCCCTGTGTCCTCAGTAACAATTCTGTGTCCCTGAGTAACGATTCCTCTGTGTCCCTCAGTAACAATTCTGTATGTCCCTGAGTAACAATTCTGTGTCCTAAGTAACGATTCTGTGTCCCTAAGTAACGATTCTGTGGCCCTAAAGTCTCTGTGGCCCCTATCAACTATGTCCCTAATACACAGAGGTCTGTCTCTCTTGAATGACCGGAGGCTAATGGAGAATTGTCAAGATGGCCGCAATTTTTGTGTCCCGCTGCAGTAACAATTCTGTGTCCCTGAGTAACGATTCTGTGTCCCTGAGTAACGATTCTGTGTCCCTCAGTAACGATTCTGTGTCCCTGAGTAACAATTCTGTGTCCCTGAGTAACGATTCTCTGTCCCTCAGTAACGATTCTGTGTCCTCCTGAGTAACGATTCTGTGTCCCCTGAGTAACGATTCTGTGTCCCTACTGAGTAACAGATTTCTGTGTCCCTCAGTAACAATTCTGTGTCCCTGAGTAACAATTCTGTGTCCCCTGAGTAACGATTCTGTGTCCCTCAGTAACAATTCTGTGTCCCTGAGTAACAATTCTGTGTCCCTGAGTAACAATTCTGTGTCCCTGAGTATATGATTCTGTGTCCATCTCAGTAACAATTCTGTGTCCCTGAGTAACAATTCTGTGTCCCTGAGTAACAATTCTGTGTCTGGTCCCTGAGTAACAATTCTGTGTCCCTGAGTAACAATTCTGTGTCTCTGAGATAACAATTCTGTGTCTGTCCCTGAGTAACAATTCTGTGTCCCTGTAGTAACAATTTCTGTGTCCCTGAGTAACGATTCTGTGTCCTTGAGTAACGATTCTGGGTCCCTCAGTAACAATTCTGTGTCCCTGAGTAACGATTCTGTGTCCCTCAGTAACAATTTCTGTGTCCCTGAGTAACAATTCTGTGCTGTCCCTAAGTAACGATTCTGTGTCCCTAAGTAACGATTCTGTGGCCCTAAAGTCTCTGTGGCCCTAACTCTGTCCCTAATACACAGAGGTCTGTCTCTCTTGAATGACCGGAGGCTAATGGAGAAAATTGTAAGATGGCCGCAATTTATAGCTCCACCATTACACAGTGTGCTGGCTGGCTGGCTGCTGATTGGCTAATGCGATCACATGTCATGAATGAATGCATTATGGGTCAGCGCGCCTTGTCTGCGCGCCTTCTCAGAGATCCCCGCTCTGTCACCACACATGTCGCCACCATTTTTGGGAAAATTCGATTCGCGCATCCGAAGTTTGCTAATTTTCGGATTTGGCGCGAATCGAATTTTTCCTGATCTTCGAAAACGAATTCCACTTCGCCATGTTCGATTCGCTCATCTCTACTCCTAATGATAACAGTATTTTTGTTAAACATAAAACACTTCCAATGCACTGTTCCAAATTATTACGCACAGTAAGTTTCAAAACACTTTATAGGATGTAAAGAACTGAAAATTGTCATTTGTTGTGTTTGCAGCGTATTTACTGAAATCAAAAGCTATTTCAATCAAACGTTTAACAACATTTTAACTTTTTAACATTTTTAACAGGTCACGTTACATTGTAACATAGGAGCCCTTATTTGATAGCAGATCACAAGTCTTGCATCCATTGAACTTGTGAGTTTTTGGACAGTTTCTGCTTGAATTTGTTTGCTAGATGTCAGAATAGCCTCCCAGAGCTGCTGTTTGGATGTAAACTGCCTCCCACCCTCATAGATCTTTTGCTTGAGGATGCTCCAAAGGTTTCTCAATAGGATTGAGGTCAGGGGAGGATGGAGGCCACACCATGACTTTCTCTCCTTTTATCCCCATAGCAGCCATTGATGCAGAGGTATTCTTTGCAGCATGAGATGGTGCATTGTCATGCATGAAGATGATTTTATTACGGAAAGCATAGTTCTACCTTGTGTACCCAGGAAGAAAGTGGTCAGTCATAAACTCCACATACTTTGCAGAGGTCATCTTTACACCTTCAGGGACCCTAAAGGGGCCAACCAGCTCTGTTCCCATGATTCCGGCCCAAAACATGACTCCACCACCGCCTTGCTGACGTCGCAGCCTTGTTATAACAGGGTGGCCGTCCACCAACTATCCACTACTTCATCCATCTGGACCATCCAGGGTTGCACAGCACTCATCAGTGAACAGGACTATTTGAAAATTAGTCTTCATGTATTTTTCTGCCCAATGCAGCCGTTTCTGCTTGTGAGCATTGGTTAGTGGTGGCCGAATAGAAAGTTTATTCACAGTTGCCAGACTCTGGAGGACTCTACACCTTGCTGTCCGTGAGACTCCAAAGCACCAGCAGCTTCAAATATCTGTTTGCTTCTATGTAATGGTATTTTAGCAGCTGCTCTCTTGATCCGATGCATGGATCTGGCAGAACTCTTCCTCAATGTGCCTTTATCTGCATGAACCCGTCTGTGCTCTGAATCAGCCACAAACCTCTTAATAGTGCGATGATCACGCTTATGTTTTTGTGAAATATCTAATGTTTTCATACCTCGTCCAAGGCATTGAACTATTTCACTCTTTTCGGCAGCAGAGAGATCCTTTTTCTTCCCCATATTGCTTGAAAATGGTTCTCTGCTTAATAATGTGGAACACACCCTCCTCCATGGCAAGATGTGTATTAGCATGCATACGCAAACGTATTGGTGTGCACGCTAAGCAGCATGTGAATAGGCACACATGCAAATTCGTCACTGATATTGATGCCAAACAGCAAATACACTGGCCTTTGTGCCAATGTGTCCTCACACCTATTGTTACCACTACCACTCTGGTAGACAAAAAGAGAACTTTCTGGTTTCATTATCCAAAGTGCACTCTCCATATATTCTAATGGAGAATCCACTAGGTGGCCATTGACAACTGTAGGAATTGACAGAGAATGTACACTAGAGGGGGAAAAAAAATTGTCACACTGGTTGGCACATGAGAATGGGATGGAATAAGATTTTGCCAGGGAGAGACAACAACATGAAAACTCTGCACTGATATTGGTGCCAAACAGCCTATTTAGACTGGATTGTGACATGGATATGTTGTTAAATGGTCTTCAGGTAGTCCCTGATTTACCTGTGACCTGAACTGTCTTTCTATTCCTGCCTTTCTGTTGTGACCTTGCCTGTTTTTGGACCCTGTATCCTACTTTCTGATTCAGTATCTTGCTGCCTGGCTATGAACTGAGCTTGGCCTGTATCCTTGCTCTGCCTCTTTCTCATGTTCCTGTAGTTCGCTGTTCGGCTGTTGATGACCATTGACTTGCATCCTAGATTTACTTTTGTCCATGTTATTGTATTCTGGCCTCTAGTCCTTGCCTAATGGTCCACAGTCATCTGTGTCCTTCAACAATTCGCACTGCCCACTACATTGGGTCTTGTGCTACTGTGTGTCCTCATATCTTCTGTTACCTCTACTAGGGGGGTGATGGACAAAGGGAGAACTTCCTGGTTTTCCTTTCCAAAGTGCACGCTCTTTTTATATATATAAATATATTCCACGAAGAATCTTTTAGGGGGCCAACAACAGCTATAGGAATTTCTGAAGAATGCACACAAATTTTCACACTGGTTGTCACAGGAGCATCAGATGGTCAGAGAGAGAGAGAACAACATCAAAACTTAGGAACTAAAGCTCCTGTTGGTGCAGAGGGCAAACTACGCAGTTCCCTTGAGTATAGGAGATCATGGGACCTCATCACTAGATGCAATTCTCAGGTTTAGCAGCCAATCATCAGATTGGAGCACTGCCACATGGGGGAAGTGTTTTGTTGCCCCCTGGCCACATGTTTGGGGTGCATGTTCTTCATGGGTACAGCCATGTGGTGGGGGAGTACTCACTCTCTTTAACCCACTCCTGGGCAGAATAGATTGATCCCCTTAGACTCACCCAGACATTCTATTCTTGAGGTTAAGAGAAGGAAGAGTCCCAACAACAGCTTGTCAATGTTTTAGTGAAATACAGTTGATTTACGCATATACTTCCTTTCAGTAATCCCAAATGGTAATGGTGCAAGCCAAAGTGTTGTCAGTAGTCTTGTTAGTCCTGCACCTCCCCTCAGGTAAAGTTCCAAGAAGCTAGATCCTCAGTGTTTACATCTTTGCATGCTCTGGTCCATGCACGGCTTCCCAACAACCCAGGAGGAGTCCCACAAGATATTTATATAGAGCCTTTTATCCAAGAGGCCACATTCTGGCAGGTTAAGAGGGAAGAGAGCTGGCCCTTCCTCACTATGGTACACTCAACTCACTGCTCTGGGGATCTCTTGTGGCACTGTCTACTCTTCACTACAGGGTTTCCAAACCCTAACTATGACAACCTCTAGTGCCCCTTTCCAACTAAAGGAGTAGAATCACCATTTCCAACACCATCCAACACCAGGTACATTGGTGGGATCTGAAGCAAAGGAAGGAGCATCAGTAGTTGAGTGGTGGGCTTTACACGGAAATTGTCACCTTGCCCTAAAGGTAAAAAACATCTTCTTTGTGTGGACAAAGCGGAGATTCACTTTATGGCTAGGGTCACACGAATGGCTTCTATCCCTGAAGTTGCATTTTTTGTAATAAAAATGAGCATAATAAAATTCCTTCTCTAAACATTCAGTCTCAACATCCTATCAGTGTGGAAGTCGGTGGAAAATGACCTTGTCAGCCAACAACGCATCATTAAAACTGGTTCTAGGTCACATGGTATGTGGTTGTATTTCAGCTTGGATAACCAAAGCACTGGCGGTGGCTTTCTGAGTTTGGCAGCCAGGAGATGTCATTAGTTCAAACTGGGAGGGAGGTATACATAAAATGCTGCTGGATGACAATCAGCCCCAGGGCCATAGATTGGACAGCATCTCTCTAAACATACAAAGCCAGAAGGGCTTTTGATAAAAATTCAGCATCTCAAGTTGAGAAAGCTGGAGGGTGAAGTATCGATGATTGCATTGTTTCATAATGCAGCTCATTATCTTCATTCACCCAGAGCGCTTCCCAGCCTACCATAAATATTAATGTGTCATTCCAGCCAGTCGAGCATGATGTGGCTTAGAATAATTTTATTATAATATGAAACAATTTCCCAACTGGCATCTGTGCCATCTCCTGATCCTGGCACGTGGGCGGCATGGACAGGGACTGCGCTGCTGGCTGTATAATGACTGCATATGGTAGACTGCCCTGAAGATGAACATGACTATTCCTGCTGCAGACACATTAATGGTTCAATATTTACCAAGTGATTATCGGGATAAATGTTTATTCGATATAATGGATCCATTAGACTAGTCTTTATCGTTTTCCAATGAACTGCACTGTTCCCTACTTATTGTTATAAGGAATTTATAGCTGGTTGAAAGCTACAGAAATGATACGTTTAATGTAAATCATTTTCTGGTAGTGTCTGAGGGTTCATTCTCCTTATGTCCTCTACTGTTGCTG